TGATTAATTACATGCTTCACAGAGAGACATGTTAGAGTGTTCGAATACAAGAAAGAAACTTGTCAGCTTCCAAAACAATCCCAAATGGGACTAGGAGCTTTCTAAATTTATGTGTACGCACATTTGTGCATGCTCATATAAATGCTAAGGAGAGCAGACGGAAGAGAAGCCAGAGAATTACATGCAACCAGCATCAGAGCATAATGTGGCGAATACAAAAAAATAAAACTGACAATAAATAAATGAAGTAAAATCCCACAAATTTTGTGGAAAAGTAGTTGGTTGCATGTTGCAATCTAACAGTGATGCGTCATGTGATATCAGACACTGATTTCTCCTCAGTGTCTGATGTGAAATCAGGTGCTTTAGATTTGTTTGAAGTGAAATGACAGAGAAACGTGAAACTCCTCTTAACGGTCTCTGTTACCATAAGAAGTGACTGAGTGACGAATCAATTTCCAAGTACACACAATTAATCTGCTGGAGGTGAAAAAAACCCCAGAATAACATTTTAAAAAGACTAAAAAAAAGCTAAGTTTAGGATGAAGCTGTAAACAGTAAAGTATCATACAACCTGTAGAAATGTCAGTAAGTCATCATGATTAAAAATATTATGCATTTGAAAAGGTAAAATGATTGTAATCATTGAGAAGTAATAGAGTTGTCTCACATGATTTAGTAAAGAACACTGTTCAAGGCGGCATGTGCTTGAAACAAGTTCAATTATTCCAAACCGGCAGCCAATCAGAAGTCGAGAGAGAAAGAGGGTTTATTGAAATTGACATTTTTAATTTTGTTTTCTTTTGAAGTGGCAGAATAAACAGTGAGCTTTCACACTGTGGACAAAGGATTTACGATACGACAAACAAACATAAGAGCGGCGATAAACCTTCGTCAAACACGAGGTGTGTGTGTGCGTGCTTGGTGCAAACACACATGCCAATCGGACTGCCATGTGGAGTGTATGCGAGAGAGGTGGCGTTGCTAGGAGCACCAGGTTGTGTGCAGACAGTGGTAGCAGAGTAGAGACGGCAGCAGCAGCCTGGCAGTGGAGAAGAAAGGAGTGGAGCAATGCCAAGAAGATTCCCCCAGAGAGACCGTAGCAAGGAGAGAATGAGGCAGACAGAGAGGGAGAGAGGCACGGAGAGGGCATGCTGATATGATCATGTGTTTCCACCGAATGACGGACGAGCAGTTCACTATCCGCAGATAAACATCTGAACCCTAGTATTAGTGTACTGTGACTTCACTATGAGACTAAGAGGGTCATTAAAAAGCAAAAGCGCACTTGCTGCAGCTTTGAGGAGATATAATGTTAAGGCATTAATGCTAGGAAGTGGTGATGAGGAGAGGGAAGCTACAAGGTTGACTGGAGGGATGAGAAAGCCCCTTCATCTGGGCTCATTTTTGTCACCACTCCTCATGTCACCTATCAGTCAAAATATAAATGTTTGCCTATTTCCAACCAGGCTGCATCACTGCCTCACCTCTGCGTGTTACCCTGCTGAGCCTCTCCCTTGTTTTCTACGTGTCATCTCCTTTTCCAGTTTCTCTCTTCCTTCTTCCTCCCGCGCTCTTCCTTTCCTTATTTTGTCTTTAAACGGAGAGTCGTGTGAACAGGCTATGCAAATGAGATGGTTATTACCCCACTGCTCATCAAGCCGCACAGAGGAGACATTAATAGGCTGATGAATATGCATGTGAATTTGTTAATTAAGTTAATTATTCTGCTGAAAATGCATTCGTCTTCCAAGGACATCTTCCCCAGGATTTCAACCTGCTCCACTCATTAGTCATGCGATATTTCATACACAGAGTGAGAATGAGAGAGAGGGAGGCAGACAGTGGGAGGGAGAATGAAGGGGAGAGGAGACAATGCTGTTTTTGGAAAGTGGGTGCCATTAACATGTGGGGTTATAAAAGTATGGGGTAAAAATAATGTATTTTAATGTCATCAGCGCTCACAATGGGATGCGTCATAACTACCCATAATAGCAAACCGCATCCTGCTTTCCAGATATGGCACATTATTCCCAAAAAGACCTAGTTGGAAGTTTATACATTTAGAGTTTTTTACGTCTATTTTTTGCGCTTGCTTCTACCTCACTGGTTACTTCTCCCTAATTGCTTATTAAAACCCTCTTAAATGAACTTTTTGTGCCAACTTTCCAACACATTAATTAATTGTTGTAGCCAATTAAGTGCCGTTGTGCAAATGAGCCTCATCACAAATGGTCCTATAGGGCTAACCCCTCCTTTCTCTCTCCCGCTCCTTGTCTCTTACTCTTCCCTCACCACCCTCCCCCCTCTAGTCTTCCCAGCTGCCCGAGCACTTCAAGGCACTCGGTGCCAAAGAAGCAGAAACTGTGTCCTGATAATGCTTCACTGTTTTCTGGACTGCTTCCAGCCTTCAGGCTCACTGATCTCAAACTTGTACGATAGGTGGAAAGCAAAAAGCTCAGTTGATTCCTTTTTTGTCTGGCACATTTGTACAAGAGCATCTTAATAAGGCCGCTTCTAAACCCACCGCCAAACCATATAGAAAGTGCGCTGATTGCATTGTATGCTTAATTTGTCTGATGGCTATGAATTTTCAAGGAGGCATGCATGCATCAAATAATTTATCTTTATTCATTGCAGGTAATATGAGAGTTCACCAAGAGAGGCTGTAGGGAAAAAAAGAAGGAGGGTAGTTAACTTCAAAGCGCTCAATAAGGTTGCCAAGCTGTTCACACATCTTCATCCCCTGTGTTAAAGCTGGAAACATGCAGAGGAAATCAAATACATGTGTATAAGGAGATGTTCTACACAACAACACTGTGAAAATATACAAAATGTAAAAACACTGAAAATTAGTGGTTGACATACAGTATATATATGTTCACCACCCCACACATACAGCCTATATGTAGGTGTATGCATACATATAATATGTATATTATATGTATGCATACACACATATTATGCAAATCTTTTGTGTACTGGATGTAAAATCAGGTTTCTTTTAAAATAATGACACATCTTTGCACCGAATGCGGAAAGCAGAAAAAAGCTGAATCGGATTAATGGGTATGTCTAACATTTGCCTTTAAGCATGTGCCAAGGTAAGTATCTTCTGTTGATTTAGGCTGTCTCATTAGCTTCTGCTTCTTTATTCAGTTCCACCCTGACTCAGTGATGTTGAGACCAGTGTTTTGTGGAGGTCATACCATCTGTTGCAGGACTCCTTGTTTGTCTTGCTGAAGAAAGTTCTTCGTGACTTTGGTTGTATATTCTGTGTAGTTGTCAAGCTGCGAAATGATTTTGGGGCTCTGTTAGGCTACACCCTAATGGTGCCATATGATGAATGAGCACCTAAACATTTAAAGTGTGTAGAAATGTTGCATAGCAGTGCACTTGGAGCGTATGTATGTGTTCACATGTGTGTGTGTGTGTATGTTTTATCTATTCATAAAATAATAAAATGTGATAATAAATGGATCGGAGGACTCAAAATGTGCAAAGAAGCAATGTAAATTTGGCCTAAATGTAAAATTTGTAATGTGTATTATTGTGTCAAAAATGTACTGCCAATAATGCCTCATGAGATAATACCTTTTCTGATTAATGTGACAGTTCTTAGATTTTTTTTTTTTTTTTACTGCTGTTGTTGTTGTTTTACTTTGGGGTTTTCTTTAGCCACTGTGGCATTCATTTTGTAGTTGAGACAATGTGAACATTTTTCCATCATGTTAACAACATGCAGAGAAGCGTTTCTCAGCACAGGGGTTGAACTTTCTCTTTTTTTCTCATGCCTGGCTCTGCCCACTGCTGCCATTCGGACGTGGCACTGATACACCCACCAGGAGGATTAGGGAAGGTTTAACACCGGTGCCAGCCTCACTCCCTGTGCCACGCCATCCCTCGGCACAGAGGGAGGTCCCGCTTGGCATGGCAAGGTGAACTAGCCTCTGATTGATGGGCATGGTTTCAGCCTGCTACTGTGCTCCCTAAGGCCCGTGCCTCCTTTTCCTTTTTCCTACTGCTGTCTTGGCAGCAGTGCCCAACTCCTCTTCCATGCCAGGCAGCCAGCTAAAGCTCCTGGTGGGCACATCAATTACACAGCGGCACCTCCCCTCTTTTCTCATGTCTATCTGTGGGTCTGTCTACTGTCTCAGACGATGCCAATCTGGTCCCACTCCATTTCCACTGCTGTCTATAGCTATCTCCTGTGTTTGTGTGCATACTGCTTTATAGCCTACCCATGTTCACAAATACATCTTTGCATATGCACAAATGCACATGAATCCTATTCACGCACACACCCCGTGCTTTCCTCTTAGGCAGGTCATAATGGTTGGTGGGAAAATCCTCCCTAGAGAGCACTCTGCCACAGGCTCAGCTGTACAATAGGCTCAGGTGTGTGCCTGTAGTATGTGCTTGTGTGTGCAAGGCATGGATGCTTTTGCTCTTTAATCTTTTTTTTTTTTTAATCTACTGCTTGATTAAACGGCCTATTTCTCTGACTGCTTTATAGTAGAGGGCAACAGTAGGAACAAACAAACAAACAAACAAACAAAAAACCATTAGTAATGTAGTGCATTATTTACATGATTATTTCAACCTTCCTTTGGATTTTGCCTGTTAGTTGCTGTTGGCAAATCATGAATCATTTACTCACAGCGACCGTACGCCATCTGCAGTATTAATTTTGACACTGTCTTACTATAAGCTGAAAAGGCTTTTATTTTTGAAGCGATAAAGGCAGCTGTTTCGTTTCTCCTGGAAACGTTGTGATAAATAACCCAAAGTAATTGTTACAACGTGCAAAATGGTAAGTCGGAACCTTAAAATGTTTATACTATTTTAAATGTGCTCGTGTATGTTATATATACACACAAACATGCAAACAAAATTGATACATAAAATAAAAAAAAATAAAAAAAAGTCTGGAGAATACACACAAATAGAGAAAGGACTCACCCAAGAGAAAAAAAAATCGCTGTTCCTCTCTTGCTATGACGAGTTAGTAGTACGGAAGCCCGGAAGGGATGCTAGGAACCTGAAGCGGGGAAGTCGAAGTGGAGCAGGGGGGTACAATGGCGGCGGGGCCTGGTGTTTCTATGCAGAGCTGCAGCCCTGCGAGGGAACTTTCTGTTTCAGTTCAGCAGGGAGGAAATCAGACTCATGGCGATCGGGTTAAAACCGAAGAAGTAACGGGTAAGAACGCGACTCGTGCTTTATTTTTCGTTGCTTTACTGATAATTTATTTTGGGACTTGGGCTATCAATGGCTAACTGCTAAATCAGCCCACTATGTTGGCGAGTACTGCTGCTTTTTCCGTATGTTTTATAGATTTGAAATCCATCTGTGGGTACCATATACACACAATAACTCCAGATTGATAAGTGCGGCTTATCTGTACAAGGATTGGTGTTATTTTTTGGTGCGCTTAAAGTCACGTTAGTTGCCTATCTGTAATCAGCTAACGGCTAACGTTAGCAACTTGCTAACGTCAACTTTCTGCAAACACTGATGATAGGTAGGTCGTGCAAAACAAGGCTCTGAAAATATAAACACCACAGAAGTTTTGCTTACCTATTCAGTGTGTAGAGCAAAAAATGCCAGTCTGTCCATCAGTTTGGCAAACTGTGTAATAAGCTGCAACATTGTAATAGCTCATTATCGACATGTTTTGACAACACTAGACATCCTAGACTAACAGTCTGGTAAAAGGATCCCAAAACTTTTATTAAAAGTTGTTGTTTTTTTTGTTATTTTTGTTATTTTTCCAAAGAGCTGACAAATCCTACCAACCAGCTAATGTATAAAAATCATGCCAGTCGCCTACCTACGTGAGACATCTGCCTGGAACACAAATAGTACAAGTGGGACATAGATGATGATAATGATGTTGTTGTCATGCTCTCAGGTCACTCTTGAAAATATAGAGGAAAGAAAGTATTTTTATACTTATATTTGTTACAGTACACATTTGGCTTCCAATTTGTTTGAAATACGTAAATGATGATAATGCCTACAACACTATTAGACCTTGGTCCACCAGGATTGGCTGAGATCTATCTATCTATCTATCTATCTATCTATCTATCTATCATTGATCAATGGTCTTTGATTAGTGGTCATGTCATTAAACAAATGTACTTTTTGTAAGGTTGAGGAAACCTGCAGTCAGCTGAGACTGAAGAAGTCACTTGGATGAGTGACAAACTGCTTCTCCCGCTGAAAATGCTACATTCAGAACAGAATCCACTTTTTGGGATTCCTGCTGATCTACATTCAAAAACACGCACAAAACTTTTTTTTCCTCATAAAGTTACACTAAAAAAAATGTGTTTGTGTGTGTTAAGTTGATATTTTATTTCTTTAAGTTTTGTTTTGTTGTTTTTATTGCCTTAAAACATTGAAGTTACCACATGTAGCTTTACAATGTTTACCACTTCTTAGACAAATGCCACATAGAAGTTTGAACGGGAAGTTTTTGTATAGCCTTTCACACAGGTGTGGATTAACCAAAATTATTTCTAAACAGTATAGTTTGTGGTTGTGTTTTTCTCAGAATAACAAGGATAATAGAAACGCCCATAAAGATATACAATATAGCTTAACAGCAACTCAAACTGCAGCTGTTAAACTGACAAAAAAATGTGTTTGTTTGATGAAATTAGTTTTTGCCTAGAGGAATAGTAAAAACTTTGTCTTGTTCTAGTTTAAGTACTTTTATTACATAAATATGGTTATTCTGGGTGGCAAAAAAGATCATAAACCTCTTTTAAAATGCAGAACAGAATAAGTGTATGAAATTTGCTTAAAAGTTATCTAAATGCATGTATTTCTTTTTTATTTAGAAGCAGAGAAGCAGAGTCGCATGGCTGCTCTGCTGGAGAGGCTTCATGCCAAACACAATGCTTCCCGGCCATGGCAGGAGACCTGCAAGGTTGTTCGTCAGGCTATGGTGAGAGAGAGACCTTTCTACAAGTGATTTGTACAAATTTCAAAAGCATTATTTTACATCAGTAAAGGCAGGAAAGAGGCATCTGCAGCAAGGCCCTTATGATAAAATCTGTGGTGCCTTTGTGAATAGAAAGCGAAAAACATCCTCAACTCCATTTCTTGAAACAGTAATAGGCACCACCTAGTGGTGCAGTTTAGCTCTACAAAAAAACCAAGTGTTTTCATGACTTAGAAAGACTTTAAGGGGAAAGTCATACAATATATTCTACAGTGGTATAATATACCAGTTTTAGAAGGCCTTAACAACATTATAAACACACACAATACCCATCATGACCCATCTATTTACTTAACAATCCCACATCAGGTCACAATGTAACAAGTAATCACAACAGAGAACACATTTAATGTCATTAAACATATAATTGCATAAAAGGTATATTCTTCAGTAACTTAGCTTCTGGATAAGTAAAGCTGTAATGAATTTACATTCTTGAACCCAGTGGAGCAGGTGGAAAACAAATTTTAGATCTTGTTGATTAAGCACATTTTTTGTTTTATGAACTTTCTCTTTCTTTCCACATAATGTGTCCCAGGAGAAACGCGGTGTGATGAATGCAGCAGGTCACCAGCTCCTGCTCAACTGTCTGGAGACCCTGCAGAGAGCTTTGAAAGGTGAGGACGTCAGTTGATTGAAACACAAGGGAGAGCGAGTTGACCTTTTTGTTTAGAAAAACAAACTGCTTTCTTTTTCAGTCTCATCACTTCCCTCCATGACAGATCGTCTGGAATCCATTGCTCGACAAAACATGTGAGTCTCTTACAGTTACCGAGGCCGGTAAACCTAAGCACTGAAAGCAGTGGAAGCTTTCAGTGCTTAGGTTGAAAAACCTTTAGTTTAATATTTCAAATGAGAATGAGCTTCTTTATTGGTTAGGAGGGCTACATACAACACATTGCATGATGTTCTTTATTTTACAGTTTTGATGGCATTTATCCATTCCAATATACTAAAACTGTTTTAGCTAAAGCACAACAGGAAATGGAGTATAGAAACGTCATAGCATTATTTTGTCAATTTTTTTTGTCTTGTTTATGCAGGCTGGGCTCCCACCTGAGTCCCTCTGGAACGGAGTGCTACATCACAATGGACATGTTTTATGTGGAGGTGCAGCTAGACACCAGTGGCCAGCTAGTGGATGTTAAAGTGGCTCATCAAGGAGAAAGCCCCACGGTCAGTCTAATCACTATGTAGTTCCATAAATTAGTAATAGAAGGCCTTGGTAACACAGGTCTAGAGACCATTCAGTGCACCATTGCAACCTCCACCTGCTAGGAAAAAAACTAACCAATCACAAGGAGGTTTCCAATAAAGCGCAGTGCCAGGAATCTTTGGCAACCGTTTGGAATACACATATTTTCCCTTACAACCAGTGGTTGCCGTGGGTTGCCAACTGGTCTCTAGGCTTGTGTGACTGGGAGAGACAAATTACATTAATCTAATTCCACTAGTGAAGATTCAGTAATCTTTTTTTGCATTTAATTTTTGGTCACAGAGTTGTCCTGAGCTTTTTCAGCATTTAAGGTGAGTAGAAAGCACATGTGTAATTGAAACTCTTGTGGATGATAAGAGACAAACCTGTAGTGCATGGTGTTTCATTTCTGTTAATGATTTAAAAGTTAAAATTGCAGTTACCTGTTAGAGATTCCTGTTTAATAGCTGATTGAGCCACTTTTGTTTTCTTTTTAACAGGGAAAAGAACTTTGAAGAGTTTTCTAAACATCTCAAGGGACTTGTTGATTTATACAAGCTTCCTGGAGACAAGTAAGTAGGCTTGCAGGCTTTGACGTTTGGTTTAGGCTTATCTAAAAGCACGAGTAGATATTTCGTTCCACGTATAAAATTGAATTTACATGTGCTATCTTCCAGATTATGAAAATTATCTTTTCTTAAATTGTTGAGTTATGAATATGTAATGTATTTAGGCTTTTTAACTGCTGAGAGACAGGAGAGCTGAAAAGAAAGCAATCAAAGACCAGATTAGTGATATTATTTTTTTTATAAGATGCATATGCCATACATCTCTGAATATTGTTTTCATATGTCTAATAATATTTCCTTTCTGTGTATCAGTAAACTGAAAACCAAGATGTACATAGCACTCCAGTCTTTGGAGCTTGATCTTACAAAGATGATGCACATGTTTAGGTAAGTTCAATAAGTCTTTGATTTACTGTTTAAGTTGCCTTTGGGATCTTTGGACTTTTCATATTCATCACATTTCTGAGGACTTTGGTTGTATGCTATATGTATGTGCTTCTAGAAAATGCATGTTAAATAATAAATCCCTGAAGATTTAATCAGTTTGAACCTGTGGTACTGTTAAAAGACTAAGTACACTAATTTTATGAGGTGTTGGGACACCTATTGTTAAAGATCGCAAGGGTCACCTCTTATTATAAGAGACTGTATCTCTGTACATTTGCCTAAATTGTATAAATTAATAATTATGACCGAAGCACTTAATTTGATCATCTCTATTTTAATGCAGTCTTCTTTGTTTTTATGTTTTTTAGGTTAGCTACCAATGCTAATACAGTAGAAACTATTCTGCATGGGAGTGTGGGCTTGCTGACAGCCAGAAGTGGTGGTCACCTTGTTTCTCTCCAGTGCTATGTGTCCCCTTATGACATATTTGAAGAGGGAACAGGCACACAGCTCAACCTAATGGACAACAATGGCAAGTGCATGCAGGGCATTGATGACCTTATCAAGAATCATCTACCAGTCACGACCTATGTAACTTACTGGATGCTTGTTGTTACAGTGCCGCGCTCTCTGGGTGTCAGTGTCTCTGTTACAATTGAAGGAACCTCCTCTGTCTATAAGCTCCCAATTGCTCCACTGATCACAGGATCCCACCCTGTTGACAACAAGGGGTAAGAACATGTTCACCAGTGTTTACAAAGTCCTCCAGTGAGCAACTCTAATCTGTGTAAAACCTGCAATTATGCTATACTGGGAATTGTTTACAAATTCACCACTCTTGCAAATATTAGGCAGTTATCATGGGTAATTGATTTTTTTCTCTTTATTTTAGGACACCTTCCTTTTCCACTGTGACCAACTCCAACTGTGTGGACCTGCCAGCTTGTTTTTTCCTTAAGATGAACCAACCCACACCCTTTTCACTCTCTTTTATCCAGAGGATGGGCAATGCTACTTGTGAGTTTACCTAATGCATGTTGTATTCACTATTCATTAACACACATAGAAAATATTATTCTTTATTTGAACGGTTTAACCTTAATCTCTGTCAATTTTTCCCCCAGCCATCCCAGTGTTTGAGACCCCACCAATCTTGTCACCTCTCTACCAGTTAATTGTCCAGAGCCAGCTCCAACGTCTTGAGGAGGGCAGCTCCCAGCCTCCACCCCCACACAACATGCACTTTTATTCTGTGAGCAGACATTACTTGCCTCCACAAATATCAGCGATGTGTTGTAAATCTCTAGAATCTTTCAACTTGCACATTATTTGGTTTCGTTAAAGGTCTGTCCACCCTCGGTGGTTACCCCCAACCTCTTCTTTTGGCTTTAGAATTGTCTCCATTACTTGTATTTATATATCACAATTATCACAATTTCTGTCATTGGAAGTATCTGAAAACTTCTATTTTGCTGTCTAAGGTGTTACCTGATCAGCAGCACTGTTACTTCCTGAATGGCGATGCTCCAGTGCAAGATGGTCGATCTCTTCAAGGAGCACTGGTGTCCAAGATCCCCTTCCGCCACCCGGCACAAGTACCATTCTTGTTGGATATCATTCGGCATCAGGCAGCCTATAACACCTTGATTGGCAGCTGTGTGAAGCGGACTTCTATCAAAGAAGGTAGGTGGCTTCTGATTTCCTGTATTTATCTTATTAACATGTGCTCTGTTTTCTATCATATTAAATTACTTATAATAAGTGTCATTGTTATTTCAGACAGTGCAGGCCTGCTGCAGTTTGAGGTGTGTCCTCTTACTGACTCAAGTTTCAGCGTTTCTTTCCAGCATCCAGTGAATGAGTCCCTGGTCTGTGGTAAGCACATACTTTTGCTCTTTTTTTTTTTTTTGGGAGGTTTCGGGGAATAAAGGTGTTTCACTAAGATAGATGCATTTAAAAAAACATCACAGCAAACATGATGTTTTGTAACAAGTGGATTTGACACAAATGTCTTTATACTACTTTTTTTTTCTCCCCAGTAGTCACTTGCTACAAATACTTGAAATCCTGATAGAGAGCTTGAAGTTGAACTTTTAATTTGTTTATATTTCATATATTCATTTTTAAGTCAGAAGTTCTGACTACTGAAATTGATGTGACACTGTTGGAGTGGTTGATATTAATTAATTATGTGGGAAATTGGTCTTTTCTGATTGTATAGTGGTTTTACAGAGAACTGTTTTTTTACATGGTAAATTATCTTTGGTTGAGTATATAAAGGTTTCCCCAACTCATTGCCCAGAAACACAAAACCAACAATTGCAAAGTTTTTATAAAATTGCCATTGCGTTAAAGTTCAGCTAAACTGGTATTTATTATTTTAACTGGAGGACTCAACACATGACTGCAGCATGTTGAACCTTTATCTCAAACCTATGTTTGCTGTCTGTCTTTTCACTGTTGGCTAATATAAAATGTTGACTGAAAAAAAAAATCCTCTAAGTCACTTCAAGGTTGATTAGCAGGCAGCCACTTTACACTTTTAGCTTTGGAGTAGATTGCAGTCTAAAGGGGTTCATGTGTTAATCTGCTGGAATATCTTTTGTTTTTTGTGTAACTCTATTCTATGTGATCTTTTTCCTTTAGTGGTGATGGAGGTGATTGACTCCAGACAGGTATCCTGCAAGCTATATAAAGGAGTGTCAGATGCTCTAATCTGCACTGATGAATTCATCACCAAAGTGGTCCAGAGGTGAGATACTCACCATAACACCATAACTGTGTGGTTATGCACAGTTTAGTACATGGTTGGTAATTGTTTCCTTCCTCTTGTAGATGCATGTCCATCCCTGTAACCATGAGAGCAATTCGAAGGAAAGCAGAAACCATTCAAGCAGACACTCCAGCCCTTTCCCTAATTGCACAAACCGTGGAGACTATGGTGAAAAACAACCTTCCACCCTCTGGTAGTCCCACCTATAATATGGTAACAGCTGATGGATCTAATCCCATGGGACTGCCTGGGCTTACAGGGGGCAACACACCTACTGGAGGAGGGCCCAATTTTACAGGTCCAATCACTTCTCTGTATGGGATGTCCCGAACTGACAGGCAAGCTCAAGGAGGAGAGTGCCTAACCCCAGGAGCTGTGGCTAGCCAGCAACAGATGCAGCAACAACAGCAGCAAGGTCAAGGCCATTCAGATGACTATAGCAAAGTCACACAAAATCCCATACTAACAAGTCTGTTACAGATAACTGGAAGTGTGGGTTCTAGTCCCAGCTCCCAGAATGCACCACAGCCCCACCAAACTCCACCTCCAACATCTTCCCCTGCCAGCAACACCAAGAATCACCCCATGCTGATGAACTTGTTGAAAGACAATCCCACTCAAGATTTTGCTTCCCTGTATGGGTCTAGTCCATTAGAGAGACAGAATTCTTCTGGTTCTCCACGGACAGAAGGCATGGGCGGAACCTGCCCTGGAGGTAGCACGAAGGGAAAAAAGAAGCGCCCACGGGGGAATGAAAAGGGTGGCATGCTGCCTGGAACAGCTGCTGGTGTTGGAGGCGGTAGCTTAGGCATGAAATCTCAACAGTCATCTTCCATGCCACAGCACCACCAGCACCATCAAGTCACTCACGAGGATGATTTCCACCGTGAGCTCCTCTCTATGGATGTGGACGCATCTCAGAATTCTATCTATGATGTTAACCTGACCAGTGATGGCTTAGACACGCCCCATAGCATTACTCCTGCACCAAGCCAGTGTGGAACACCACCATCTGGTCCCAGCATGCCTTATTCACAGTCTCATGTCCAGTCTCAGCAACAGCAGCCACCAGGTACCGTACCACCTCGTATGGTCCGTCTCTCCAGCTCTGATAGTATTGGACCTGATATCACAGAAATCTTGTCAGATTTACCTGAACAAACTGGCAAAGGCAGTGGTGGGAGCCATGGGCAGCATCTAATGGGCAGCGGTGGGGAGGATGGAGGCGCACTAGGTACCCCTATCCGTGACTCTTCGAGTTCAGGTCAGGGTAGTGCAGTGTTTGACTCAGCAGATATTTTCAATACCAACAGCAATGAGAATCCCTTCACAGACCCCGCTGACCTGATTGCTGAGGCGGCCGGAACTGTTACCACTCCCACCAGTGACTCTTCTTCTACCAACTTCTTCCCTGATGCCGCGGACTTCAACCCTGACCTTCTTACCTCAGGCCATGGTTTCTCCCAGAGCTACTTTGATGACAGTTCTCCAAGTGCTGATGGAGACATGGACCTTGTCAAGAGTTTTGGGGGAGGTAGCCAGCAGAATACCCCATCAGGAACGCCTCAAAATCCTACTCCACATGGACAGAGCACTCCAGAGCCTTCACTAAAGGAGCCTTTTGATATTGGGATGGTGTTTGGAGGCAACAGTGGTAGTGGTAAACCACTTCTGGGACAAGCTCCTGATTTAGGAGACACACATGGTGGAGGGTCCCAGAGCCCCCTTTTGAGCATGGGCCTTGGAGGAGCATCTGGTGAACCAAAAGTTAAACAACAACAGGTTCTCATGCGGCCAAAAGATGAGAATGGGGGCAGCGGTGGGAGCAGTTCTGGGATGGGAATCGGGAGCAGCTCAACAGAGGGAAAACAGGTGAAGCGTAGCAGGACGCCATCCAGTGAGGGAAAATCTAAAGATAAACCTCCCAAACGCAAAAAGCTCGATCCTGATGGAAAATCCCCTTCTCACAGCTCAGGGGGACGGCCTTATACACCACCTAGTGGTGGCTCAGGCTCTGGTAGCAGCATAAGTGGAGGCGGTTCCAAGTCTCCTGGTAGCTCAGGACGGTCACAAACCCCCCCTGGAGGTGCCACACCTCCAATTCCCAAAATCACTATTCAGATCCCCAAAGGGACCATAACTGGGGGCAAAACCTCTTCCCATAGTGGATACACCTCCAGCAGTTCAGCCACAAGCAGCACAGGAGGAACTGGAGGAACCAGCAGCAGCAAAAGCCATCATTCACACTCATCGTCCTCTGGAAAGATCAAATCCAAGGAAGGCTCCATGACACAAGGCAACAGCTCCAAACCAGGGAGTGGAGGAAGTGGGCCATCCCAGTCTAAAGGCTCCTCCCAAGGGATGGGTGTTGGCAAGCCAGGATCTTCACCAATCACCAAACATGGCCTGTCTGGGCCTGGAGGTACTGGCGGAGGAATAGGAAGTAGTAATAAAGTTAAGCCTCAGGGGGGCAAGCCTCCTGGTTCACTTATGAATCCCAACATAAAGCCCAACATTTCACCTTCCCATTCTCGTTCCAGTAGCTCTGGTGAAAAATTATCCTCCCCTATGAAGATGCAGCAGTCCCAGGTTCCAGGAACTCCACCTTCTTCCAAGGCCAAATCCCCCATGGGCTCAGGAGGTGGCAGCTCCGGAGGGTCCAAGTCTTCTTCTGGTGGAGGCATGAGCTCACAGAAACCAGCTGGGGGAAGCTCTTCATCTGGTTCTTCATCTTCTTCATCATCCTCCAGTTCCTCGTCATCTTCAGGTTCAGTTGGCTTCTCAGGAGGCTCTCAGTCTCAGTATGGCAGTGGTGGAGGGGGAAGTGGTGGAGGTGGTGGAGGAGGCAGTGCAAGTGGGGGTGGAGGTGGCAGTGGTGGAGGGGCTGGCCAGAATAATGCAAATAACCCAAACGCCAAAGGAAAGTCTCCTAGCCGTAACAAGAAACCCTCTCTAACAGCAGTCATAGACAAGCTGAAGAGTGTTGGAGGAGGAGGAGTAGGGGAGGATGGTTGTGAGGTAGGGCCACCAGTAGGGGGAGCTGGTTCGTCATCTACTCCTGGCGGTGGGTCTGGAAATGTTCCCAGTGGGCCTTCAAACATGGCACCATCCAAGCATGTCTCATCCTCTCAAAGTGGTGACTATAAGCGGGAAAAGTCTGATAAAGAGGCAAAGGCAAAAGTGTCAGTGTCAGGGGGGAGCAGTGGGGATAAAAAGTTGATGGACCCAAAAACAGGTGGGGTAGGTTCGACTGCTTTGGCCAAGATTATAATTAGCAAACCAGACGGTGGCTCTCCAAGTATCAAGGCTAAAGTGACCCTACAGAAAGCAGGAGAAGGATCTGGTGACAATATGCGTCCTCAGATTTCTAGCCTGAAAGCTTCTCCACTCTTCAGTGGCTCGACTCCCAAACATGACCGCTCCTCCCCCAGTCACAGCCGCTCACCAGGATATACCCCACTTAACCAGGATAGTGAGAGCGAGTCAGGAAGCAGCTCAGTGGCTGAAAAGTCTCACCAGAACAGCCCCAGCTCGGACGATGACCAGACCATGCGCCCACTTCCTCCCCAGGACTACATGAGCTCTATTCCCCTTAGCTCAGGTGAGAAACATAAGAAACACAAGAAGGAGAAAAAGAAGCAGAAGGAGAGGGAACGGGAGAGGGACAGAGACCGAGAACGGGACAGGGACAAAGAGAAAAAGAAATCTATGTCAATGGGGCCGTCTTCTCATCCAATAAAATCGGACAGTTGGTCAAGGTCTCCCATCTCAGCTTCAGATTCATCTTTGTCCATGTTAAGTTCAGATCGGCCTTCCCGGCCGAGCCCAATGTATATGAGAAATGAAGATGATGACCTCATGGACTCAGCCCTCACCGGCAACCTTTAATTTGATGTAGAAAGTGCTTTGATTTCACTCATTTGTTGTCAAATTTTAACCCATTCCTTTTAAAACGTAAAGTAAACTTCTATTTATTTCAATCAAGCTGCAGATTAGAGCTGGATATAGGAATATTAAAGCTCTGTAGCTGATCATTGAACTGTTAAAGCTGTATTTTAGTTTTGTATTTTACTGTATGAATACCGATGTATGATGTCGGGGTGGTTAGGATGCCAGGTGTATGTGAATGTGAACACTACACATAAAAAGCCACCTCCGAATTGAGAAATTAACCATTTTTGTCTTTCCTGTGATGTCAGATGTTTTTATTTTTTTTAGTACGTTTCCCCATTTCTTTATCCATGTAATCCATGTACATTCTGCTTCTGTCATAAAAAACAATGGGTTGCTATTATACAGTATGACATCTATTGGAAGTTATTGTAAAGACAGAAAGGTACAGCATTTACTTGCCTTGTTTTTCACAAAACCTTCAAATTTGTAGATTTTTGATACATTTTAAATTGTTAACGAGTAAATTAGTGAAGGTAAAAAGACTGTAACTGATAATGATGATGATGATGATGCTGATGGTGGAGTAAAAGAGACATGCAGTTATTTTTTATAACTGGAATTGTTTTTGAAGGTTGGAATAAAAATTTCACATGTGAACCCTATGTGGCACTAGATGGCAGCAGTGTATCAGGCTCTATTTCTGGCTGCAGAATTACAGGGTGCGTTATAATGAGTCATTTTCCCAAAGGTAATGTGTGGAGGTTAAGTGGATTTTCACATCTTTATTCACAGGTATTATAAAGGATGATTTGTAGATTCAGAGTGCAACTAAAGGGTTTTTCTTTGCTCACAATGGGCTCATTTTGAGCCTCCAAATTGACAGAACTAAGAGATGTTTATACTGTCATGTTTAATATCAGCAAAAAATACTTGTGTTGAGGCAATCTTATTAGGAAACTAACCGGCATTAAGACCTAACAGTACAGATATGCCAGAATGAGTTGGTGTAGTTTTTTGATTTGGTGCTATAAAGTAGTATGACTTTGTAGCTCCAGATACATTTAAATCAAAGCAACGTCTGTGTATCACTGTATGCACAGTGGACATTTAATCTAAAGAGATTAAATGGCCACTGTGCGTTCTTTTTTTCGTCATTGCATTTTTTGCTTTGTCTTTGTGAAATGATTAGATGTAAGACATACAGTCTTTAACAAGCAGCTGAGGTGTACTCAGTAAAGCAAATATCTAATCAACCAATAAGATGGTAGCTCAACTCCATGAACTTATACATGTAGATGGCCTGCTGAAGTTCAAACTGAGCATCAGAATGAGGAAGAATAGTGACTGAAGGGACTTTGAATGTGGCACAGTTGTTGGTCTCGAGGGTTTAAAGTGAATGGTCTGAAAAAGAGGGTGGCGTAATGGTGTGGGAAATATTTTCTTGGCACGCTTTGGGCCCCTTATTATCAACTGAGCATTACTTAAACACAGCCTAGCTGAGTATTGTTGCTGACCATGTCCATCTCTTTATAATCACAATGTACCCATTTTCTGATGGAGCTACATATAAAGCAAGGTGATCACCCAAGACTAAAGTTGTGGTCAGACCAACATCACCATCCATAGTAGCAAACTTCCAGCACAGCTCAAAAATGTGTTTGCTAAATTAGACTTTAAAAAATGGGGCAGTCTGAAATGTTGGGTTGCTGAGTACTCTGTAATAAAATTTGAAATTGTCAGGACTTTAAATTTGTATCTACATTGCACTGAAGAATGGGATTGTTCATGCCAAAGTAATCAATTAATAGAGGAGAAATATAAATAAATATTATGTGTCACATGACCAGTTCTAAACCTTCCAGTAACATTGCAGTCAAAGGAGCTTGGAAAAACTGACTGAGAACCTTCACAGACATATTCCAGTAACATTGCACGGACCTTTAGTCAACATCAGGCTTGTGCCCGAGAGACGATAAAAGACTTTGCACAGAATGAGAGGATTATGGGAAGAAAAGGAAATATGTGGATATATTCCAAGCAGTCAGAAAGTGTGAGTGACAGGGTCAACAATAGAGAAATTAGCTGTGCTGGAGAAAAAAGGCAGATCAGCAGTTTCAAAAGGTTGGTAGGGAATATAAAGTCAAAGAGCCACAAAGGGAGGAATGGAGAGAAGCTCGCAGCTGGAGGATGGCGAAAAGATGGCCTGGTAGAAATGAGAATGTTGATTATAAAAACTTTGACTGAAAATGCCACTTTAGAGGCTCAAAAAGGAGTTCAGCTCTGGGCTACTGTTCCCATAATGAGGGCACACATTCAACATATCGTTTTAGGATGCTGTTTTCTCTTTTGGTGTAAATGCAATGATTTACATTGATTCCCATGACTAAATATATAAACTGTGTTTAAGGCTATCAGCAAACTGTCTCTACAACATGTCTCTACATACACTGAATTAAATAAGGTGAAAATAAATGCATCTCACAGTTTTGTTTAGTTTTGAAGCCAAAATGTAAAAAAAAAAAAAACCACAAGTCAAATTCCTAGCAGTCATGAAGAAAAGATGCAAATAGGTGCTTCTGAAAGCTGAGACAGAAGAGGAACAGACTGTGCTGCAGCTCAATAGCAGAAAGACTTGATTCCTTTATTATTCACAAGGACATGATAAACCACATTGGCAGTAATGACATTCAAGCAACCTCCTGCTGTGGTGTCGTAGGGTACTTAGCTGCATATGACACTCTGCATTTATCCTTTGCAAATATACAGTACAAAGGATCAGATGACTTTGCTTTGGGGCCCTTCAGATGGGGCACTGGGGACATAGACAGGAATGTGAAGCCAATCAAGGTGCACATGGTTGACAATAGCGTTTTTTCTTATTCTTTTTCTAAATCATTTTTTTAAATCATAAAATAACCCTATTAATTTGTGGAAGCTATAAAGTTTAGCACTGGCTTCTGGGGGGGAAAAAAATCTTCAAAAAACAGCCCAGTCAGCAAACCCAAGGAAAAGTGAGGTAATGTTTCAGAGGATCAGCTTGCTAAAAGGTTTGTATCAAAACTTGGTTTCATGTGTCATTTGAGACATGAGGGGAGGCAAAGGTTAAAAAGATATTTTTTCCATCCATACAGGAATATGTCTTATTGATTTTGTAGAATATCAGCAAAATGATGAAGTGATTTGATTCATCAAAGTGCTGAAACTTACTGAAAGTTACTGCAGATTTGTTGGCTGCACATCTGTGATGTGAATCTCCTATTCACCACAATCCAAATGTGATCTATTGGATTGAGATCTGGTGACTGTGGAGGTCATTTGAGTACATTGAACTCATAGTCATGTTCCAGAAACCAGTTTGAGATTATTTGAGCTTTGTGACATGGTGTGTTATCCTGCTGGAAGCAGCCATCAGAAGATCGGTACAGAGTGGTCATAAAGGGACAGACGCGGTCAGCAACAATACTCAGACTGTGGTGTTTAACAAATGCTTAATCTGTACTAAAGGAGTCAAATTGTGACAAGAAACTATCCACCACACCATCAAACCACCTGGAGCCTGAACCACTGATACAAACTACAATGGATCCACGCTTTCATCTTGTTAACACTAGATTCTTACCCTACCAACTAAATATTAAACACTGATGTAGACCAGGCAATGTTTTTCCAGTCTTTTGTTCTTAAATTTGGTGAGGCTTCAACATGCATACCATTCTTTCTCCTTTGTGATTATTATGTGGAAAAATCTCAGCAGCAGTTTCTGAAAAATTAAACCATGCTACACTTAACGTCACTAAAATCACCCTTTTTTTTTTATCCATTTTGATGCTCAGTTTGAACTTCAGCAGGTTGTCCTGACCGAATCTATATGCTTATAGTGAAAACACCAAATGTAAAAAGGCTCATTTACACCACTGAACCCTGCTCTCAAAAACTGACATAGACATAACACTAACTTTCACCACTTATTTCTCAAATCCAGATACACAAAGTTTTAAAAACATGTTTAGTGACTTCTTCTGTAAGTTTGGAGCTTTACGTCACCGTCTTGGTTGGCTGGTTGCGGTCAATAGACTTACATCAGCTAGCTTCTGTTACCTACCTAGTAACAGAACCAATAACTTGGGGGGATATAAGGACACTAAAACTAAAAATCAGCTTAAGGGGATCACTTTTGTGCTGTCCCTGGCTGCAACCAAGGTTAAATATAACCCTGGTGTCAACTTTAACACTCTGTCTCTTAAGCAGTAAGTGTTGTTTCGTTGTTTGGCTTGATGCACTGACAGGGGAAACTACACCTGGATGATTAGATACTATTTTGTGTCCCCTGGAGCTTTATTCTTTTACTCTGCAGCACCACCACCAGCCAAAAGCTTAATGACAAGATACAAATTACCTGCCAATTGTTAGCATTCTGATGTTGTTGTTAAGCTAGTGCCACTGTAGCTGATTGCAGCCTGGGGTGCTAAGAATCTTTGCAGCCCAGAAAGGATGCTGGCCAGATTTCATGTTCTGCTGATTCTCTTCACTCCTGATCCTGTAGTACTCATAATTAATTTCATTTCTAATTCCACCATTATTCTGTTCTACATAATATGATTAAAAATTCACTCTCCTCTCCTTTTGAGTTCCCACGTCTGTTTGGTTTCTTCCTGTAGCTCATCCTACACCATCCCTCTCTCCTTCAGTGGCTCTACTTTTGGTTTCTTTTGGACTCCTTGCCTGTCTTCGTGTGCTGCAGTCAGGCTCATCTGTCTCACTTGCTGTTATGCAGCACTGTGCATCATTTTCTTTTCTTCCCAGTTGTAGCAGATTCCTTCAATTTCAGGTGTGTAAGACACATAAGGTGCAGGAGATAACTTCAGCAAACTGCGGTTTACCCTCGAGCACACAAGGAAGAGCTGCAGTTCACGACTGTTGATGAGCTGTATAGCATGGAAATAACCTCCCAGCTTATCCTGTAGATAAGCAAGCAAGAGGGAGGCAGTCATTTGCCAGTTAGTTAAGCTTTATAGCTGCACACAGTCAGCTTTTGGAGGCAATGGAGGAGGAGAAGGGGTTAGAAGAGGATGAAAAGAAGTAAGAAGTCAAAGGAAAGATGGAGGAGAAGAGAGAGATTTATTTATGCTGCATCCTTAACTAGGGATGTTATTATAGCACAATAAGAGCTGCAGACAAAGTCCAGATTATACTGTTTGGAGTATGCAGCAGCTTATAGGCTGAATCATTTTATCAGTACTGAGCGTAACCCGCCAAAAAAAGAGTTTTATATTTATCAAGAATATTCTTAATTTTTCTCCATGTTGCAGTGGTTTCACTGTGCCAGTAATTTACATATTTGTGTGTGCAGAGATGTAGATCAGCATCACTGAATATTAATTGTTCTGTTGAGAAAGGGTAACTGAATGGGCTGCAAGTGAAATTGAATTTAACCGCTTTTCTTAGGCAAGTTGCTGCAACTGAAGCATGAAAGCTGTGGATTAATTTGTTGATGCGAATTCCATTATTCAAACCGCTTATGCAAGTTCATCAGCAGTTTGCAATTTCATTTTCTGTCCGATAGTAAAGTAATCATTCTTGCTTTGACCGAAAAACAACGGCGAGCAGAATCACGTTTCCTTCATGGCATAACATGCTTTGAGGGAAAAATTTATGGTTGTGTAGCTTTGCAGGTCTTTT